ATGCAAAGATTTATGTTTCTAAAGTGAAACAGTGAAAAATTACAGCACTGTCAATACATGAATATCCACACCTTGTACAAAAATGTCCAATTTTGGCACACAACTGGACACCATGCCAGTTGATTTTTTTAGGTATTAAAGAGCAGAAATTAATACATTTTATTAACAGGCCTAAAAATGCTTTTTTTTAAAATATATTTTTGAAGAATTAACCACACATTTACATGGTAATGGCCCTTTCTGCCATGCGCATGGAGCGTTTAATTGGCCTCTGGCCCTTTAAATTCTGAGGGGCTGTAACTTTGGTTTCTTTTGGTCAATTTGCATGATTGACACCTCTTTTTAATCGTTTGAGCCAATAGGATTCAAGTAACGATGCCACGTTCACGTCACTTCAACCAATCGAGTGATGATGCCAAAACTCATGTGAGCCCAAATTTACTGCATGTGGCGTCTGTCCAGTCACGTGTCTGTAGGTGTGTCTAAAATGGAGGTTGTTGACTGAAAACGGCTCTCATGTGGCTAGGTAGGCGTGGTAACTGCTGATAATCACGTGGCTACCAGCTACTGGCGAAAAATAATGGAGGAAATCGGGACGATAAGCCAATTTCTGTCTTAGCGCATTAGCGCCGCTGTGTGTTTTTGTGGTCTTCGAATGTGCACGCGTCAAATTAAGGGTGTATAGCGCGTTTTGTTCGCGTCTATTGCGTTCGGTGTGAACACACTGTAGGACATGGGACAGTACAACTCGGGACCTTCTATGCAAACACTTGGGATGCATAGATAGTCACTGCATACTGTCCCCAGTAGCTAGATTAGACAAACTTGTCCTGTTAATACTCAGTATACTCCTGCATGTCAAAGACTTCCTTTTCTGCCAAAACTAAGTTATAAAAGGCCTTTATTTAGCTCCTCAACAGAAGGTGTTTAGCTCATCTGTATCATATATTTGTACTACATAAAAATAGGAAGGTGCATCTCAGGTTATCTGGTGATCATAGAATTGCTGTGAAATTTGAAGTACTTAAATTCTACAGTATAAACTGCTTTTTAAATGTGGCTTGTAGTTTTAACTTTTAACAGTCATTAAAACTAGAAAAGTGCTGTGTAAATCTCACTCTGTGGTATCTCTTGTGAAACTGAGGTGAAGACAACATGAGCGTTTGTCTCTTAAAAGGTTTCCAGAGTGTGAAAAGGGGAAACACCCACTGCTAAGTGGCTGTGATCTGTATATAGTAGTTACCCATTTAAAAATAATAGTAATAAATAAATATAAATACAAGTAAATAGGTGTAACTGCAGGTGAAGCGACA